CCTCACTGTGCACATTCCGTACCGCTGATAAATATATTAGTCTGCCGGCCAGCCAGCTTAATTGTCGTTTTTATTGTGGCTAGTTCCTCGGAACGAGGCTCAAGCCACTATGCTATCGCCTTGCMAGTGGGTGGTATGAATGTAATTCGGGATAACTTCGTGACTGGCCGCTTTTATTCCGGTACATTTTCGTTATTGTTCGGGTACATTCGTAATCTTCCGTGATAGTTGGGATTCCTGTCTAATTACGTCTATAGAGGTTCTATATAGCAAATAGACCTGATCATTGTTGTTAGGACGTGTTGTCTAGAGCAAGAAAAYTATGCACGATTTGACCGGAAGGAAATTGACTTTTATTGCGTCGTATCTTTGACTATACTACTCAAATTATTGTGTATGTTACTCCTTTTCTCGATAAAAAGTAAAACAGGAGTATAAACAGCAGAAAAAACGCTTATACTGATATATATATAAAAAGATTAGGTCGTCCAAAATAGGGGGGTGCGTCCGCACCCAAAGCACCCCCTGGATCCGCTCCTTCATTCACTTTAAATTCTATTTCTAATGTGTTCTTCAGCTTGTCAGAAGTCTTCAGAAGTCTGTTATAGTTATCTTTATTGTTATTGAAAGTGTTTGTCCATATAAGGTGTTTGAAGATRTTTATCCCATTTTTAGTGCCKTTYACAGTTACTCAAAATAAACTCCATAGACTGTGCCGACGGCAAAGAGAGTACCATTTTCAACAGAAGCCGATGCAAATCTGTCAAACTCAGCGTCCCATAGACAACGGCTTGCAACTCTTACGGCTTCKCCATTCTTCGCTCCTATGGTAACCAAACAAACAATCCTGAAGCGGTCCAAGTCAAGACTTTTAACCTGATCTTTTATAAAYTGACTTAGAGTTTTACAAGCACGAGCCGGATTGACTTGACAGTATATTTCATCTTTAATACCATTCTGTAATGTCCTCGTGATGATTTGGCGAACTTCTTCGACTGGGAAATGCGTTTTAGGTTTTATTCGGTAAGTGTTCTCAACTGTAGTCGGTGGAGGCTTATT